GACCGTGCTGGCCCGTAATATGTCCCATCCCATGTTTTCAGCTTCCTCCGCAGTACCACTGCCAGGCACACTGCTGGACCAGCCACGGCGGCCTGCCTCTGTGCCTCAGACACGGCAGGCAGGCTCCCATCTCATGGCCTTTTGGTGGCTGTTCTCTACTTCGAATGCTTGTCCCCCAGATCTGCTGTCCCCAATCCCCGGTCACAGCCTGTTAGGTACCAGGCCATAGAACTCCGCTGCCTACCTCCCAACCCCTGGTCCATGGGAAAATTGTCTTCCATGAAACTAGTTAGGGTTGGGGATCACTGCCCCAGGTGGCCCATGGCTGCTCCTCCTTCATTCAGGTCTCTGCTCCCCTCATCAGAGAGACCTTCTCTGACTATGCTATGTAAAATAGCATCCCTCATCACCTGACATATATTAACCTGCTGTACTTATTTCATAACATTTATCTCTACCAGGCAATTATAATTATTTTCTTATTATTCCCAGTTGGACTCTAAGCTCCATGAGAAAGTGGACTTTGTTTTGTTCACAGCCTTTTCCTAGAATCTAGAAAATTACTTGGTATATAGTAGGAGTTCATACTCACACATGTGTGGTAATAACATCTTACATGTATATGGGGAGATTTATAGTTTGCTTTCACATATGTTCTCTTTCTTGCTTCATAACAATGATGGAAACATTATCAGCCTCACTTTGCAGATGAGAAACAAGCCAAAAAGAGGCTTAAAGAGTTGGGCAAGGTCAGACATCTAAAATAGTCCCTGAGATCTGCCCCCCCAAGTCCAGTGTCATTGCCACGCACTGTGCTCTGTTAAGTGTTTTGTTATTGGTGATGGTGGTGATGACATAGGGCAGCAACAGTGACCAGTTCAGCCTTCGAGGTTTTCACAGGAGTTAGAAGTTACATGCACAGACTAAGAGTGGGTGGAGAATGCAGCAATTGCTAAGGTGGCTGCTGCCAAGTGATTTCACCTTCATAATCTTGTTTGATCCTCCCAACAAACTTGCAAAGTAGCCAGAGCAGGGATTATTGTTCTTATCAGGCCAACAATGTGCTTCATCTTTATTCTATCCTTTGTCTACTTAGTCTTCCTTCTTCCCCCAGTAATAATTTTGGCCCCTTCAACTATCTTGTTTGTGTTTTGATTTGAATTAACTTTTCAGTTTTCTAGATGATACATTCCAGCATTAGAAGTATAGAAACTGACCCAGAAGGGGAATACACACATAACAATAGGAGAAGCACGGTTTCACATGAGCTCTGCGAGGTGCAGGTGGCCAGGGAAGAAGATTGTTGCTGAATGATGCTGAATAAGTGATTTCATCAGCAACATTTAAGGGTCCCTGGTGTGTGTACAGTACTGGACTAGCTTTTGTGGGGGATACACAGGCATAATATTAATACATTATCCTGCCCTCAAAGGTTTTGACTCTGTTTGGGAAAGCAAGCATATGTAAGAAGTTAAATTCTAACCCACAGTGAAAAAAATTTTGCCAAATTCTAAATGGTTATCGGTGGTTATCACAGACCAAAGGTTGGCAAAATTTTTTTGCAAAGGGCCAAAGAGTAAAAAGTTTAGTGTTGTCAGCCATATACTTTCTGTTGCAGCTGCTCAACTCTTCTGTTGGAGCTTAAAAGCAGCCATAAATTGTAGGCTAAGTAACCAAGGGGCATGGCATGATTTGGCCTGAAGGCCTTTGCTGACCTATCCTACTGACAGTAAATTCTATAGGTTTTTTAGGGTGGTTATGGAATGTTTTACCGAGGAGTTAGGACTTGAGCAAGGTCTTGAATAGTAGCTGGAATTTGACTAGTGGAGAGTGAGCAGTTGAATAATAGGACATATTAAGCATTATAAGAAATGCTCAGGAGACATTGAACAAATCAGCCAGGCTAGTGTTTAAACACTTGGTTTCTTATTGACTAGCTTTCTAGTACAGGGACATTTCTGAACATAAAGAACTAAGGAAGCCCTGTCCTTAAGCTTGTATGCAATGCATTGGGCAAATATCATCACCCGTAACCTCGTTGGAGGATAAGCATGGAGGCCTTGAATAATTGCTCTGCTTCTAACCTGCTTCCTGTCTTGGCTGAAATGTAACTGCCTGTCCTTTTCTAGTATTAAATTGCTTCGGTTCACTTCCTAGCTCTGCTACTTATTGGCTGTGTGACATTTAGCAAGTGACTTGATCACTTTGACCCTTACTTTCCCCATCTGTAAGATGGGGATAATAATATTGTTGTTATGACAATGTAGTGGGGTAATCCATGTAAAAGCTTTGTGAATGATGGCTGTTATTTTTACAACCTCTAAATTAGATTGAAAACATTAGTGTTGCTTTTTTGGAATTATTTTAAATTTCTAAAGTAAGTATATGTTCAGGAAAGTTTGACTGTTTCACTTTGTGTAAATAGATTAAACTGATGAGCTGTATCAAAAGCTGTAGATGGTAGAAATATTTGCCTGCGTCAGTCAGCCTTATCTCAAGTAACAAATCTCTCCTAATCATTCTTAATTTATAATTCTATGATTAAGAGTTCTCTTTTTTTTGTTTGTTTTTGAGACAGTGTCTGGCTCTGTTGCCCTGGCTAGAGTGCCATGGCGTCAGCCTAACTCACAGCAACCTCAAACTCCTAGGCTCAGGCAATCCTCCTCCTCAGCCTCCCGAGTAGCTGGGACTACAGGCATGTGCCACCATGCCCGGTTAATTTTTTCTATATATTTTTAGCTGTTCAAGTAATTTCTTTCTATTTTTAGTAGAGACGGGGTCTCGCTCTTGCTCTGGCTGGTCTCGAACTCCTCACACAATCTGCCCACCTCAGCCTCCCAGAATGCTAGGATTACAGGCGTGAGCCACCATGCCCTGCCAAGAATTCTTAATCATCAGAGCTTATCTATGCAGGTTGATGGCCATAGTTCATGCTATATCTCTGTGGCTGAAAAATCCCAAGGTCAAAATTTTAGATTCAAGTGATTCCAGGTTTGTAGTGCCCCCAGGTGTACCGGCATATCCTCTCTGGAAGAATAATAGACTTTAAACCCTAGTCTCAAAGACTTTCTACAGATGGAGTTCCAAGGAATGAATTAAAAACAACAACAAAACCCCTCACAACCACAATACTATGAGTGAGGTTCAGTAGGAATAAGAAAGAAACTGTAGAATCAGTTGGCAGCAAAGACTTTATATATTGGAATTGGCAGGTACAGACTATTAAATATACTTAATGTAATTATTAGAAGAATTAAAAGAATTTAGAAGAATAACCAAAGAATTCTTTTTTTTTTTTTTTTTTTTTTTGAGACAGAGTCTCACTCTTTGCCTGGGCTAGAGTGCCGTGGCGTCAGGCTAGCTCACAGCAACCTCAAACTTCCTGGGCTCAAGCAGTCTTTCTGCCTCAGCCTCCTGAGTAGCTGGGACTACAGGCATGCACCACCATGCCTGGCTAATTTTTTTTTTCCTATATATTTTTAGTTGTCCAATTTCTTTCTATTTATAGTAGAGACGGGTTCTTGCTCTTGCTCAGGCTGGTTTCGAACTCCTTACCTTGAGCGATACTCCCGCCTCGACCTCCCAGAATGCTAGGATTACAGGCGTGAGTCACCGCACCTAGCCACCCAAAGAATTCTTTTAATTCTTCTAAAAATTACATTAAGTATAGGAATTATATTAAGTATAGAAATTTCCTATACTTCCTATACTTAATTACATTAAATATAGGAATTTGCAGCCATTATAATTGGCCAGATATTTTTAAAAGAACCAATGGTAGTACAGTAGTAGGGCCTGGGTATTTGGTGGGTCCCATCTTAATTCTGACAGCAATATGTGCATACACGCACATGCATGTACATACACATACAGAGTGTTTCTGTTTTTTGGTTTTTTCCATTCAACAAACATTTGCGGTACCGAGCAGTATGTTAGGCACTGGGTAGAGAAGACTACGAGTATGATTACAAGATGATACTTGTCTTTAAGGAGCTTATAGTCTACTCTTAACTTTGTTTTCCGAAGGTGGTCAGTCTTTGGAAGGCTGAAGACCATGGAGACTGCAGTCTCATTGGCCTAACAAGATATTTTAGCTGCCATTTTACTGCCCACACATAGCCAGTTCTATCCTCCAGGATACTGGTCAGCTCAGTTCACCTAGACCAAAAATTAATCAGTACACCTGAGTACACAGTGCCTGCTATTTTGGAGTTGGGATTTTATTGGCAGAGTCCTTTGGTACCAGGGATTTCTCTAGGTGTTCATCTTTTTATGCTCCCTGCTACCTAGAACTCCTGACTCACTGCTGAAATAATTCATTTATTAAGAAATTAGAGTAATACTTTAATAGGAAAACTACCCATTCATCCCCAGGCATTTTATCTCTTTGAAAAGTAACTAAAATATAAAACTTATTAATTCTGAATAGCCTAACTTGGTATAGTAACGACACTGATATATGTACTTATAAGATCCATGTGGAGTAACTTGGCATCATGGAAGAATTGAAACACTGAAGGAAAATAGGGAAGGAGTGACATTTGTCTGAGTGGGGCTCTGGGAAGGCTTCAAAAAGGGTGTGGCATTTGCACTGGGGTTTGAAATGGGATTTTGATAGTTGAATAAAGAGGTGGGGGTCGTGGAGAGCATCCTAGCCTGAAACAAGAGCAAGAACAAAAGTACAGAGGCTTGAAAACATGAGGCCTGTTTCCGCAGAGGTGAGAAATGTGGCTGGAAATTTAGAAAAATGGGACTCTTGCTTCCCTTACTGTGGAGTTTCCTTTTTTTGTCCTCCCCGCCCTCTTTTCCTTGTTATTGTACATCTCCTTTTGTTCCACTTGGATGACCCCTGTTGAGATACTTGGAGGGGAATTACTTTCCTGTGCACACTAATGAGATTGCCAGAAATGAAGCATTTTATGTAGATGACTATGAAACCAAATTTTCACATGCATTACTAAATGATATCTTGGAATGGGTGGTTGGGGAATCTTTTTCAGGTTGAAAATATCCTCTTGCATGATCGAGGCCACTATGTCCTGTGTGACTTTGGAAGTGCCACCAACAAATTCCAGAATCCACAAACTGAGGGAGTCAACGCAGTAGAAGATGAGATTAAGAAGTAAGCTTTTATTCCTTTCTTGGAGTTTTGTCCATTATCAGATGAGCAACTTTACTTTCAGCTTGTGGACGAGAAGGTTGGAACAGGAAAAGAATGATGCTAGAAAGTTGTCCTGTGTCTCAGAGCCTTCTTTTGTTCATGATTGGGTTGTCTGACTTCAAGCGAAGCATGGTGAGGGGAGAGGGGCAGTTCACAAGCATTCATCAGTAGAGTAAAGGGAAGGAAACTTAGAGCACTTTGTCAATGGTCCTGTGGTCATTGTACTTAGAGATTTTGATTTATGATGTCACATATGCTATAATAAGCCAAGTAGTGCATGCAACGTAAAAATACTATGGTGTTTTTAAGTGTGATTGTGACAGCCAGGACAATATCAGTCAAACAAATGTGCTTTTTACTGAACCCTAAATTGCTGCTTCTTTTTTGCTCATAAGATAGTCTTAGTAGAATTAATGATGAGTAGGGTTATTGAAGTCTCTGCACATATTGAACCACTGACTTCCATGAGACAAAGCTTCTTTAGATTTGTGACTCCAGAAAAAACTAACCCATTTCCCCCCCATGTCCACAGTGTTGGATTTTTCACAGTCAACAGCACTCACTATTATTAGTAATAAATCAGTAGTCTAGCCTGCACACTTACATTTTGGTGCTCCCTGTCCTTCCATGCGTCACTGTAGGCAACTAAGCCTGGGGCATGAGGACTTCTGGTGCATGGCCCTGGTGGATGCCTAAACCAGTCCCATCTGTGATCTAGAGACCCAGGCAGTACAAATTACATGCTTGGTAACCCCAAGACACTCACTCTGAGGATATGCTTAGATTACTTTTTTCTTGAGCCAGAGATAAGAGGGTAACTGTTGTTTCAGCCCTATTCTAGGAGCAAAGATGAAGGGCTCTTGATCACACACACACACACACTCTCTCTCTCTCTCTCACACACACACTCACTAGCCAAAGCCGACTTTCTACTGTTAATATCCTAGCCACTATTGCATCTCTGTATTGAGCCACATTTAAAGGATTTATTATTTTTGAAAACAAATCAACAAAACATAGTTTCAGATAATAAGAATTTATAGGATAAGATTTCATCATTTGAAGACCCAAGAAAATTGCTGTAGAGTTTATTTAGTGCATTCGTGCCTGGGCCCTCACATATTCTGAGACTGGAAGGACTGCTGCCAGAGGGCCATGGTGTGGTGATATGATTGTACCAAAGACAGCCTTTCATTTTATCTGCACTAATATTTCATACTCTCTTCCGTAGATTTTTCCCAGGGATTCTTTTAATGTAAAAAAAAAAAAAAAGTATTTCTGCTTCTCCTGGTTTTTAATTACAGCCTTGACATATTTAACAAAAAATGAATCTTTTGATTGTAGATACACGACGCTATCCTATCGAGCACCAGAAATGGTCAACCTCTACAGCGGCAAAATCATCACTACGAAGGCAGACATTTGGGTAGGTGTCAAGTAACCTACACACCTCAGATATCAGTAGTCTTTATTATGAATTCCCAAGTTTAATGCAGATAGTGCTAAAGCACAGTGGCTGCTGTACCATATCATTGTCTCCTTATCCCTCAAGGTTGTTCTTAATGTGAGGGGACCAGCCACTGCTTTCTAAAGCATGGTAAAGAGAATTGCTTCCAAGCTCTGAAAATTATTCGAGTGTTTTTCACATATATGTTACTCTTTCTTAAGAGTAAAACAAGTAAAATATTTGTTCTTTACTGGAGCATAATTTGATAATAATGGTAGAAACAATGTAACTCAGCTGCTAAACAGTGGTATTGGGTTCTCATTAAAGTTTCTAATAGATTAATAGTATATACTTTTTATATCTGCTAATAAATATGAATGATACTAGTATCTCTCATTAGATCCATCCTACAGTTATGGAAAATAAAGCACTGGTAGCAATCTGCTATCTTTATTTTTTTAGGCTCTTGGATGTTTGTTGTATAAGCTATGCTACTTCACTTTGCCCTTTGGGGAGAGTCAGGTGGCAATTTGTGATGGAAACTTCACAATTCCTGATAACTCTCGGTATTCTCAAGACATGCACTGCCTAATTAGTAAGTATTTCAAGTTTCTAGTTTCATATTTTTATTTCTAACCACTAGCAGTGAATCGGAGGAAAAAGGATGAGATTCCAGGAATAATAGGTTGGATGCAAAGATAAAGAAATCAGTTGATAATGGTTGGAAATGCAAAGATAATGTAAGAATGTCTAATTAGAGCAGTGGGCCTTTTTGCTAGAAATCTACACTCAGTTTCACACCTGAGCCCACTGTCCAAGCAGAAATCCTAACTGTGCTTTGAGCAGTACAGTATGGCTGTGTTCCGTTGCAGTCTCTGAAAGCTGTGGTACCAAAGGAGTCCAGCTGACTCATATCAAGGGATAAGAAATTCATCTTTGCAAAATTGGAAGCAACTCAAATGAAAATGATTGCAGTGCATTGACTGGAGTGAATACATAATTAAGACTATATAACTCCACGGAACCAGGTTTTTCCTCTCATTTAGGTTAATCACTGGGTTTTAATAACAAGCATCTAAACTTAATGCTTTGTTGAAAATAGTCCTAAGATTCCCCACTCTTTTGTATCATCAGAGCAAGCATATGTGCTAACGTTCATTAACCAGATGGTAGAATAAGTAGTCTTTGCACAAGCCCCTGTACTAAAATGCTAAACAAACATATTTTTGTTATCTTTTCACATTGGTCAAGACATTTGGTATCTAAGTTTTAGCCATTATGGATTATAAATCCTGAGCAACCCACTTTGGGTCATGGATGGGGATACACTGGAAAAAATAGAAGCAGCAAATGTGGATGGAACATCTGACATTTGTTGAGGGCCTGTTTATACCTCATTTAATTCTTAAAATCCTTTATATATTAAATATAATTATCCCCATTATACAAATGAGGTAACTGAAGTGAGAAAATATAGGTAATTTACCCAAATTAGCAGAGTTACAGCTTTTAAGTGACTACCCATTCCATTGTGCCAGTTTTATCTATCAGCCTCTACCATTTATTAACCGAAAAAGGGAAGGGTATTTAAAGGAATGGAGTACAGCATTTGATGATTGTTGGATTGTTTTCAGAGGTAAAGCATTATGTCTATATTAGAATTGCAGCTATGTAAATGAGATTGGCATGGAAATATGGGAAAATGGCCAAATTTGCTGTTAGACTGGCAGAAATTTTTGCTAATTTTTTTTAACATTTGTACAATAAATTCATATTGGGAAAAACAACTCTTCATGACTGTCTATAGCACTGACATCTTTCCCAAACTATTTCAGTTTGAAAACTATTTGACAGTTTCACTATCACCCTAAATTCACAGGTCTAAAATTAAATGTATCATCATTGCCCCTGCTTCTTTTTACCCGATACAAGGTCCATGCTCCTTTTTTCAGTTTCTTCAAGTGGTATCACCATTCAAGCTTAGATGAATGAAATTTAAGATTTTTTTGGATCTAGCTAGCAAGAGGAGGGAAGAATTGGTCATTTCTTCAGCTGTATTTTGTTTGTTTGCTTTGGAGTTTCTACTGTTTTCATTACATTCTTTCCACTCTCATCACTGTCATCTTAGTATATATAGATTCTGTCAGCTCATGCCTGGTCTGGCCCCACTACCTTCTCTCCTTTCTCTTCAATCTACCCAACATACTCTCATCAAAACAGTTATCTTATAAAACTTCACCCTCTCATGTCCTTGTTTAGGAAACTTCAGCAGGTTGCCAGTAGGACCCAGATTCTTGGCATGGCATTTAAGATCTTTCATGTTTCCATCCCACTCACCCAACCTTCTCTCTACCCTGCCCTCCTGGCTCCTCTATTTCCTTGCAGCAGAGCATTCTCATCTTTCTCCACGTCCTTCTGTGCTCACACTGTTCTCTCACTTGGAATGTCTTTTTCTGTGTTTTCCCCCTGACTAACTAAATTCTATCCTGCCTTTAAGAACGACTTCAAGTCCTGTGTCATCTGCAAGGTCTTCACAAGACAGCAGCCTCACTGATCTTTTCTGAACTTAGTGTCCAAATCATTCATTTTATTACTTAAGCAATAAATGGCCATGCATCGTTGTTTATATGTATAGGTATATGTTTGTGTGTCTTCTTAAAGATTTTTTTCCTGAGGATTTTGCCAGCTTCAGAGAGGCAGAAGCTTAAAGAACCTGGAAATAGACAGGTGATCTATAGGGTACCATAAAAGTAGACATGTATGTGTTACTTGATAATTTCTTTTAAAGTAGAAACCAGCTAATATCTCCAACAAAAGAATAATAAGTAAATTCATGAAGTTTGGGTTTGGGTTATAATTATCAAGAATAGTCATTTGTTTAGCAAGATAGTATAAAACAAGAAAGCCAGAAGTAAGACCATGTAACCTAGGTATCAGAATATGAAGGTGGTAACTTTCACACTGAGAGCTTGAGTCGCTGTTGTGCAAGGCACAGAATGTGAACTTCACGTATCTTTTATACAATTCAAATACCTGATTTTCTTGTAGATAGTAAATGTTTCAGGAAAGCTAGAGCTTCTCTGAGAGGGGAGGGAAAGGGCTAATTGTACTGCCTGACTTTTATTAGAAATAAAAATATAAAAACAACAAAATTTTGGTAGTAGGAGATAAAAATTATGCTTCCTAGCTAATGTAATAACTGTTGGGATGTTATTAACTTCACATATGTTTGTTTTAGGGTATATGTTGGAACCAGACCCCGACAAAAGGCCAGATATTTACCAGGTCTCCTACTTCTCATTTAAACTACTCAAGAAAGAATGCCCAATTCCAAATGTACAGGTATGTGAGTGGTGCTTTTTAAGGGAGATAAACATCCTCAAATTGCCATTTTGATTTCCTGGGGTGTTAATCACCTGTTTAAATGAATATAGATGTCCCTTGCTCTACCTATCAGGGAACATTCAAACAAAACTATGAAGCAGTTGCTATAAAGGGAATCCAATTTTTCCATGGAATTTAATTATAAAACTGAGGCAATTATACTGAACAAAATAATGCCCTAGGGATTGAATTGAAGTCTTTGGGTGAAGATTGACCAACTTCATGTCTTGTCGACTCTTATAGTTCACTGAGAGCCACATGCCTATTATCTTACCTAGCAGTGATTAGGCAGCTGCTTTCCTGACGCAAGACCTTGGACTTGCCCTCCTACATGTTGGAATATAAGCCCCTGTCCGTTTTCTCCTTCCTTGCAGCAGAGCTTTCTTGATTTTGCTTCTGCTATTGGGCTTCTATTATGTCATTAAATATGAAATGTCCAATTTAGAATCAAACATGTAGTTTGTTATATCTCAAACAAGAAGCAGTACAATTAATCAAACTATGCACCTAAACTATCAATACAGTTTTGCCATCTTCACAGTAGCTTGTTTATGCCAGCAGCAAAGAAGCCTGGAGAGTGAGTGGCAATGAAATCACAAAAGGCGTTTTCCACAGCTTGTTGAGAATTGAGTATTTTTCTTTGCAAGAAGTAAACCAATGCCTAGAAGAAGAGGTGGTCAGCAGTGTAAGGTCTTGAAGACAGAGAGTTTCCAAGTCCAGCTGCTGTAGTTTCAGCAGCACTGTTTGTGTGACATGTGGTCAAGCGTTGGATTGTAAGAGTATTGGCCTATCTGTATTGACCAATCTTGGCTACTTAATCACAAGCATCCTCATTATTTTGTTCAACTGGTTGCAGTAGACATCTGCTGTAATCAGTTGACCAGGTTTCATGAAGCTGGAATGGATAAGAACCAGCATCGGACCACCAAACTGACACCATTAGCTTTTTTTGATGAATATTTGGCTTTGGACTGTGTTTTGGCACTTCAACTTTATCTAACCATTGTGCCAAACACTTGCAATTGTGAAAAAGAATCTAATTTTTATCGCACATAAAAATACAGTGTAGAAATGGTTTGCCTTTGTCCTGGCAGCAAAGAAAGGCAAGCTTTGAGACGATTTCTCTTCTGATGCTTGTTTAATTCATGTGATGCCCCTCTATTTAGCTTCTTTACTTTGCTGATTTGTTTCAAATGGTCCAATATTGTTGGAATAGTCACGTCAAACCTTGCTGTTAATTCACTCATAGGTTGAGATGGATTCGCTTCTACTACAGCTTTCAGCTCATCATTATCCACTTTGGTCTCAGGTCACCCACGTGGCCTATTTTCAAGATTAAAATCATCAGAACAGAACTTCTTAAACCATCTCCATACTGTGCATTCATTAGCCACATCCTTCCCAAACACTTTGTTGGTATTTTGAGCTGTCTGCTGTCTGCATTGGTTCCACGACAGAACGCATATTAAAAAATAACATGAATTTTTTACTTATCCATGGTTTCACAAAAATTCCTCTTAAAAAATTTGAAAAATAATCACAAGCCAAACTGTGCATTGGAAAGACTGAGGATGTATCTTCACAGTAAAAATAAAACAATAAGTATCAAAGTGAAATGTCAGAGATATCAACTGTCAAACTTAGTACTTAAGGAAATTGGACATTTCATACTTATTAATCTAATATAACTCACACTCCTTTCTCTACCTTCCCTACACATGAGGCCATAAGAATGTTTTCTATGCTTACTAATCCTAAACTCTGCACTCACAGTTTTAATAGCAAAATACTGGCCAGGTATAGTGGCTCACGCCTGTAATCCTAGCACTCTGGGTGGCCAAGGCAAGAGGATCACTTGAGGTCAGGAGTTCAAGACCAGCCTGAGCAAGAACGAAACCCCATCTCTACTAAAAATGGAAAAACTTAGCCAGGCATGATGGCACATGCCTGTATTCCCAGCTATTCGGGAGATTGAGACAGGGGGATGGCTTGAGCTGAGGAGTTTGAGATTGCAGTGAGCTATCATGATGCCACTGCACTCTAACTGGGGTGACAGAGAGCAAGACTGTCTCAAAGAAAAAAAAGCACAATGCTTGCAAACACCTTTTTTTAATATAACCTTTGCATATTTTTCATGTCATATTATTCAATTCTCTTGAATATTTTACTAATGGATGCTGTAATAAATAGATTCTATTCTGAAACTTTCTCACTAGTGTCTCCAATAGTGAATTTTTTTTTATTGTTTTTTTTTTTTTTTGAGACAGAGTCTCACTCTGTTGTCTAGGCTAGAGTTCCATGGCATCAGCCTAGTTCACAGCAACCTCAAACTCCTGGACTCAAGCAATCCTCAGCCTCCCAAGTAGCTGGGACTCAGCCTCCCGAGTAGCTGGGACTACAGGCATGCCCGGCTAATTTTTTTTCTATGTATTTTTAGTTGGCCAATTAATTTCTTTCTCTTTTAGTAGAGACAGGGTCTCGCTTTTGCTCAGGCTGGTTTTGAACTCCTGGCCTTGAGTGATCCACCCGCCTCAGCCTCCCAGAGTGCTAGGATTACAGGCGTGAGCCACCGCGCCCAGCCCAATAGTGAACTTTTGATGTCAGCATTGGAGCTTGAGAGTGTTGGTAAATAACTCCTCTTTCATCCCCACATTGACAATCAGATGTGGGACTCATTCAGACGGAGCTAAGAATATTGGCCTTATTACTAATAAGGTTGAGTTGGAGGACATAGCTTGACCCGTCAGGCTTGCTAACATTAGGTCCACATAACTGACGTGTAAATGCCTGATTCCTGAGGAACTGGCACTTCCATAAAGGAGGGAGGGCAAGGGCAAACCAGAGCAGCTTACTTTTTTCTCTCACTATTATCAATCAAATAAGTTTCTCTTCTCCCTTCAGAGAGGGGTGCTTGAAGGGTGGAGGAGATACTAGGAGATGTTTTCCAGCAGAAATTCCTGCCACCTGGAAACATGAAGGAAATGAGGGGACTCTACTAACAAGCCAGTTTTATAACTAGTATTCTGTTTGTCAGGTTTCCCAGATTGAAAGGAGGTTACTGTACAGTAGCCTAATATGACCGTATTTTCTTTTCTAGTCCCACTTTCCCATTCATAAAGTTAAATAACGTGAAATATAATTGGAAGCATTCAGATTGATAACTAGTTTTTAAAAAGTAAACTTCACAAGTCTCGGGTCATTTGGTACTCGCTAAGTAGTGGTAAGCAGTTGTTTTGTGGTTAGGGACAGCTAGCTGGTGCTGCCTCAAGAGGTGATATCGGATGGTGGATGATATGGACCTGAAGCTAGAGGAACTTTGTGTGGCTTGTGGGTTTAGAAGTGCCTCACACATTGGGAAGAGGTGCGGAATCACTAACCATACATATGGGGTGGCTGTGGTTTTAACTAGCAGCATTCTAACTCAGCATTCTAACTAGCAGACTGAGTGCACCCTGTTTGACAGACTGGTCAGCTCTAACTTCTCTAAGATCTGGCTGGGACTTGAATAACGCAGGTTACGGACATCTCCTTCCCATTATTTTCATAGCATCACTTCTAAGCTGTGCTATAGGAGGAGATGGGCACTGAAATCAAGCCTCCTTGAGCTCAGCCTGGTACAGAAGGTGGAGATTGATCAGGGGGAATGTGCTGCACACAGGCAACTCTCTCGTGTTCTCACATACTTTGCTCCTTGATTGCAGCTGAGTCTGATATGCATTTGGTTATCACGAGACCGGGCCTGAAAGCTGCTCTAGAAGATCCTAAAATGTATTTATATCAGCTCAGAGCCCTGGTTAGGTGGTTATTCTTTCTTTAATCTGTGATGTTCTTTTTTTCCCTTAAATTCTATAGAACTCTCCCATTCCTGCAAAGCTTCCTGAACCAGTGAAAGCCAGTGAGGCAGCTGCAAAAAAGACCCAGCCAAAGGCCAGGTAAGAAATGCCTTCATGAGCACATATTCTGTTTCGATCGCCACAGCAGCAGGGGAGGATGCCTCGTATTTTTTATTCTTATGCTGCCATAACCAGAGGCTGCACAGACTAGGAAAGCAAACTCTGTTCCCCCTAGGCAGAAACTGTTCTTTGGGGATGCAAAAAGCAATGTAATGAAATATTGTGATCTACATTTGAAAAAGAATCAAGATTCTACAGCTCTTTCCTTTGCATGGGAACAGGCACAGGGGGATTCAGAGATGCGGCAACAGCAGACTTTAAATGTCGATAATATAAGAAGGTCCAAAACGTGGCTTTTGATTAGCCTCATTTATAACCCTAATCCTCAGCCTGTCTTTCCTTCTTACTTACTATGGCTCTAGCCCCATTAGGAGAGTGCAGGTCAAAACACAGAGTCCCTGAATAGCAAAAGACCCTGTGGGTCTTAGTTAATCATGGTGTATACAACATAGGGTCTTCCAGGAAGCAGATGCCAAGAGAGGATTAAACAAGCAAAGATGCCCTTGTAGCATTTCCCCAAATAACAAAGATGTTATTTGGGGAAAATAAATAACAATAAATAACAAATAAATTAACAAATTATATTTATATATGTTATATATATACATAATATATAACATATAATATATATGTTATAAAAAATAAATAAGTTAACAAATAAATAACAAAGATGTTATTTGGGGAAATGCCCATGTGAGAGAAAACAGCCCAGAAAGTCTGGGAGGGCTATCAAGGGCCATGCAAATGTGACCCAGAGAGAGGGAGGAGAAGCATGGGCTGAAGTGACCTGGACTCTCCCACAATTTAAGAAAGGCTTACCAAAGGTATCGGAGAGTTCTTGTGCCAAAGTCAGCCAGCAGAGGCATCCCCTATCTCCTAGGAGTCCATGTAGCTGGGATATTAAGTCTGGGAGCAACCTGTGGCAAGTGTGGCTTCAGGGCCAGCCTGTCAGTGGATTAAGGGACACAGCTGGGGCATTGGTCTTTTATGCTCTCTGTAGATGGTCTGCAAGGCACATTCTCATGGCTGCCATACCTTCCGAATGGTAAATTCATAGAGGTAGCCCAGGACATGTTTCGGCCCCCTTTTTTTTTCAACCATCCTGCGTTGGCAAGGAATTGTTAGTGGCAAACTGTGTCAACAAAGTACCCTGGGTGGGAATATGTGAAGTTTAATAGAACTGTAAAATAACTTATGTATTTTAAAAAATTCTTGACTATCTATAGAATGTTCTATATGCTGTGTGTATAGAGTTATTCCAGATGTGGCTCTAAAGTAATGAGCCTTGGTTTTTAATAAACGTAGCAAAATTGCTTAACAAGCAAACCTTGTTATTTTGTAGTCTGTCCATTTCTTAATAGAAATTCTGCCATACCCATCTCTTTGAGAGTTGACTTTAGGGCTGGTTTAATTAGCTTAGTCTTTTGGGTTTATGGCCATCTTGTACTAGATTCAAACATGGTATATAGTGAGGCTAAGCAAGGATCCCTTTCCTTGTTCCCACAAAGCACACACACATGGAAATCCATACAAACTAACATTTTAGACATTCTACAGTTTATAAACACTCTGTTATTGATGCATTTGATGTTCACATCTGTCTTATAATGTAGGCTTATGTATGCTTCTCCGTTTTACACATAAGGGATCCACAGCCGAAAAAGGTTAAATGACATGCCCATTATCACACAGTTAGTGGAGAGTGGGCGCTCAAATATAGTTTTCTTTACTCCATATACCATTGTTTCTGAGATGTGCCCCTCAGGAGAAGACCAATGTGGAGGTTCTTGCATTTGGATTTGTACAGAAGTCTGTCCACCTCCATCACCCTTAGTTTTTTCTTTCTTACACCTTTATCTTCTCAATATCTGTCCCATTTTCTTTCCCACCTCCCTTCCCTAGGCTATGGCCTATGTGATAGCTTTTACATTACCAATTCCCTACCCAACAAGTGCATCCCTTTAGCAGGATGCTACAGGATGGACATATCTTGGAGTTATGTCATGGGGAAGGATGTGGCAGCTGCTTTGCTTCCTGCTTTCCATGTCATGGAGGCTATTTTGAAAATATTTTGGCAAAGCACACTTTGGAAGTATTCATGAAACTTGTTCATTTTGGTCTAACCTCAGTTATATTCCGTAAAGTGCAGTTTCAAAGGACAGCCACCTCTGATCTGAGTTAGGTAGTAGCCAGCTGCCTGGACCACTATAAATGAATGGAAGGTAGCACCTGGCTTCCGCACCATCACAAGGAGCAAGTAGACCACACATTAGTCTTCTCTGTCAATTTGGAAGATTGGATTTGGATTTGGCTGGGCGTTTCATAAAGTCCAAAATGACAGTGTCTTATAGAAGATAGATGTTTATTTTTTCTCTCAAATAAACAAAGTCTGGAGGTCCCTGGCTACTATGGCAGTTCTGCTCCATGAAGCCCTCAGGGATTCTCCAAGCTTACCACTCTACTGTCCCTACAGTGTAGCCATGACCACATGGATCCATATGGCAGCATTCCAGTTCCAAGCAGCAGGGTCAAAGAATGGCCAAAGAAGACAGACACAGGATGTGCATCAGTTGCTTCTTAAGGCTTCTAGAAACTGCCACATAACAATCTGCCTATATCTTATGTAAGGCCAGAACTTAGAATCATGGCCACACGTGGTTACAAAAGAGGCCAGGCAATGTGATTTTTTAGTCTGGGTGACCCTGTGCCCAGCTAAAAATTTTATTACTATGAACAAAAGAGAGTATGTATATTGGAGGAAAATCCTCTGTCTTGAATTATTTACTTATTACTTCTTGTTGCCATATTAGATTCTCTCATTTGCATGTTTTTCATTGTAGAAAGACCATTTTTACAGTTAATTATAACCAAGTTTGAGTTCTCTCTATATCTGAAAGCCCCCTGCCTCAAACCCTTCTTTGCATCATTACCCAAAGCATATTTGGGGAAATCCTAGGAGGTATTGGGTAAAAAGGTCCCAAGATCAAATAAACTTGAGAAACATTGCATTCTATATAGTGTTCTGTTTGAGATTCTCCGTGTACATTCAACAGGAAAAGTTCTGCTCAGTATATTTTGATCAGTGTGTTAAAAACTTAATTGCCCACCAAGCCTTTTTTCAAAACAGTCAAGGCCAGGTGTGGTGGCTCACACCTATAATCCTAGCACTCTGGGAGGCTAAGGCGGGAGGATTGCTCGAGGTCAGGAGTTCAAGACCAACCTGAGCAAGAGTGAGACCCCATCTCTACTAAAAAATAGAAAGAAATTAGTCGGACGACTAAAAATATGTAGAAAATTAGCCAGGCATGGTGGCGCATGCCTGTAGTCCCAGCCACTCGGGAGGCTGAGGCAGTAGGATTGCTTGAGCCCAGGAGTTTGAGGTTGCTGTGAGCTAGGCTGATGCCACGGCACTCTAGCCAGGGCAACAGAGTGAGACTATCTCAAGAAAAAAAAACCAAAAACAAATAGACTGTAACACATTGCCATGCTGTGGACCATCCTTGGGGAAGTGCCAGTTATGCAGATCTGGAAGGTTTGGATGAATGTTGAGGGAAAGCATCATGTGCTCTGCCTGCCCCTCCCGTTTTCCCACACTTGAACATGAATCTTTTCTTTTCCCTTTCTAGACTGACGGATCCCATTCCTACCACAGAGACTTCAATTGCACCCCGTCAGAGGCCTAAAGCTGGGCAGACTCAGCCGAACCCAGGAATCCTTCCCATCCAGCCAGCTCTGACACCTCGGAAGAGGGCCACGGTTCAGCCCCCACCTCAGGCTGCAGGTCAGTAACTGGATCAGTACTGGAGTTTGAAACTCGGTATACCTCTTCATTATCCGGATGATAGGGAAGTCTTGGAAAGCTTGGTTTTGCTTTAGGAATGGAATCCAGAGACTTATGAAAAATAATGATTTTCCTTCAGGAACAGGAGATGAGCTGCTATTGAAAGTGTATGGCAAGCGGCTGGCAAAAGGGGAGACCTCTCATTCAATTCTGAGATGGATCTCCAAGACCACCGAAGCTGTCTGTTTTCTCTATTTTTTCTAGTCTTGGCGCAGATTTTGTTTTGGTCCATTTATCCCATACCTACCTCTTTATTTTCATATACTTCTCTTCTCCTTTAAAGAAGCAAGACTCACCAGTTTTGACACTCACAGAGATATATTGTTTCTTTAATGCTTTGTCTCTTGAAGTCTCTGTACCCTCCATGTTTTGGTGTTCTGTTTCTAATGAGATGAGTGAGCTTTGTTTCATAAAGAGGATTGATCCACAATATCAAGTAACTGAACACAGCCGTCACTTCCCCTACCAGAGAGCTGCTTTTGGTGAATTTGGTGGCCATCTACTTACAGCCACACATCAGCCTGGGATAAGCTCTATATACAATATCAAAGAATGCTTTGTCATGCAGCATGCCAGCAGGTCCAAAGAATATGTTTTTGTATAGTCGTATCAAAGGCCAGTTGAGTATGTAGATGCTTGGAGTAATTGACTAAATTACTAAATGATGTGATAAAGGAAGACTTTCTGGAGGAGGCAAGTATTGAACCTTATTGTTGCATCTAGTTTTGAAAAATTTGAAGCATATAGTTTAGCAAGAAGGTGGAAAGACATTCTAGGTGGGACAAAGCCTGTGGAAAGACAGGAGCACATGGATCTTGGGATAGATACTTTGCCCACCTGTCACCACCTCTTTATTGCTTTGGCCAGACAGAAAGCCGTTTTTGTCTGGATGAGTTTTGAGCCCGTATGTGGATTTTATTCTCATTGCAGGACCCAGCAATCAGCCTGGCCTTTTAGCAAGTGTTCCCCAACCAAAAACCCAAGCCCCGCCCAGCCAGCCTCTGCCACAATCTCAGGCCAAGCAGCCTCAGGCTCCGCCCACCCCACAGCAGACGCCTTCCACTCAGGCCCAGGGGCTGCCCACTCAGGCCCAAGCCACACCCCAGCACCAGCAGCAACTCTTCCTCAAGCAGCAGCAGCAGCAGCAGCCGCAGCAGCCACAGCAGCCACCGCCACCAACACAGCAGCCGGCGGGCACATTCTACCAGCAGCAGCAGCAGCAGGCCCAGACTCAGCAGGTAAGGTGGTCAGAGTGTAAAGCGCGCCCCCTGCTTTGCACATAAGAGCCATGCCTGTGAGAAGGCCCACTAGGCACATGTATCTTCCTGGGCAGGCGCTGGGAGGACAGAGAGCCTTTAGCCATTGCATCACCGTTTCGCGTAGATGTAGACACTAAAGCATTGAAAGGTGGGTCTATCACACCCCTTTCACGTTTCTTCTCAGGCCGTGAACAATTCATCATCTGATTGATGAATTTCTAGTGAGGACTTTTTTTTTCCTTCTCTTTTCTTTTCTTTCTTTCTTTCTTTCTTTCTTTCTTTTTTTTTTTTTTTGAGACAGAGTCTTGCTTTGTTGCCCAGGCTAGAGTGAGTGCCATGACGTCAGCTTAGCTCACAGCAACCTCACTCTCCTGGGCTCAAGTAATCCTTCTGCCTCAGCCTCCCGAATAGGTGGGACTACAGGCATGCACCACCATGCCCAGCTAATTTTTTCTATATATATTAGTTGGCCAATCAATTTCTTTCTATTTATAGTAGAGACGGGATCTCACTCTTGCTCAGGCTGGTTTTGAACTCCTGACCTCAAGCAATCCACCTGCCTCGGCCTCCCAGAGTGCCAGGATTACAGGCATGAGCCACCTCCTCCGGACTTTCCTTCTCTTTTCTAACATAACTACAACACTATCATCATTCTGGGAAAAAATAACGATAACTTACTATCATCAAAATCCAGTAGTGTTTAACTATTTCTGATGTCTCGTAATTTAAGTTGGCTCATTTGATTCAGTATCCAAACAAGGTCCACATCTAGTATTTAGTTGGTATATATTATTTTCCATTATCTTTTCATATATTTTTTTCACATTTTGAACTATGAACATATTCATTTTATAATGATTGATTTACCTTTTAAGTCCCCTTTTATCTGTAAGTTCCCTCTCCCTCGTTTTTTTTCCCGTTTGCCATTTTTTTAAAAAAACTGGGTTGTTTGTCCTGCAGAATTTTCCACATTTTAGTCATGGAACAGGTACATATGAAAAAAGAAAAAAAAAGGAATTTTCCACACTCTGGGTTTGGCTGATTACATCCCTGTGGTGCCATTTGGTATGTTTGACCACCTGTGTCAACTGGTAATTTCTTGAGGCTTACTCAATATTCAATTGTTTGATAGTTCTTTGTTCTGCCTGTACGTCACATGAGAAGGCCTACCATTTCTAGTTGTCTTCTACTCTGTTAATATGAAGGTCAATTAGTATGCTTAGGTGTTGCCTGTCTGCTCTGTTTATTTAATGTTCCTCGTTAGCTTAGTAGCTATTGCTGATTATTTCCCAGGTACATTAATTCATTAGGGATGGCAAAATGATATCCTAGTATTCCCTCCTTGTCTAGGGGCTGGATTTTTTCTATGAAGAAATTTATTCATCAACTCTTTAGTTACTTTAATCTACTGTTTGTACACAAAAGGCAGGAGGAATGCTCGATCCTTTCCCTTTGTTTACCAGTTTTCAGAGAAATATACTTACTCCCTATTATCATCCAAGGGTGAACAGTGAGGTTTTTGTTTTGTTCAGTATCATTACAAATTCATGGATTTTAACATATTTGATGTCTTTCATTCTTTTAAGTTCTCATAACTTTGATGATTTTTTTAAATTTATGTTTTTGATATATTTTAATACATTGTAGTTTTCAAAAATTTGTTTATTTTGATGCTCAGATTATCCCAGCTTTGGCCAGTGGAAGTCTCTTCAAATTGGCTCCTGGTCCTTTGGATGAGACTCCAGTAGTCTTTAATGGTTTCCTTGCCATCTAGAGTAACTGTGTCCTAGGATGATTCTGTCCTCAACCTAGAATCATCCATTTTTCTCAAGTGCTGTGTTTCTTTTTAATGGAAATGATATTTGGAAACCACAATTTTGGTGCTAGAAATACTTATTTGCTAATGGGGTGGTTGTTGGTTCCAGGCCTTCTCAGTGGAAAATTAGAAAATAGGTTTGGTTTGGTTTGGTTTGATTTGGTTTTGTTTTGTTTTGTTAGAGAATATGCATTGTGAATTCAGATTTGTATTCCTTATTCAGATTTGTAATTATAGGATTTTTGTTTAACTTCTTAGATTTTGTTATATTTTTCTACTCTGAAAAAAAATCTTGATTCCTAATAGCATTAACACAATTAAGTTATAGTTTTAAGATAGCAATACCAGTATGATTACTAAAAACAGTTTTAAGATTTCCCCTTAGAATGTTTTAAGCACATTGTTATGTGGGGAGTTCAGCTACCAATTTGATACACAAGTTTTTATTTGCTTCATTTTGCTTCTGATTTTTAGTTATTGTTTTTTAAATTTTGGTTTAATTTTATGAATATGTAAAACATTTACATAGTTTCTAAGTTAAATCTGCAAAATTCCATTTCTTCCAAGCCATAAATAAAGGTATCATTCATTCCTATTTACAACTTGAGAGAATTTTACTTGATATATTCTTCAGGATATATCTATCATAGTTTATTCAGTCAGTCTCCTGTTTATAGACATTTGGATTGTTTCCAACATTTTGCTGTTATAAATAGACAGCTATTTTTTAACATCTACGTCTTTGCTAACCATTTAACTTTGCCCCCGTAGACAAACAATATCCTCCCATTAACTCTGTAACTAAGTAACAGTATTTGGGATGTTCAAAGATAAGATCTTAACTTTTATTCACCACTAGGCCTTTGTTTTGAACTCTGTGTGCCTAGCATGTAGTTCCTAGCAGCGGGGATTAGAGAGACATATATGAAGTATTATAGAGTATACTGAATATTTTGAATGTTTAAAGATGGCAGAGTCTAATAAAAATAGAGCTCTCGGGAAATAATTTGCAGAAAGACTTGAGATGAGTCTTAACGGCTGGGTTAACATTTAGATTATTCTTTTCAGTGTTGTCATTGCTTCCTCCTATTCGTGTAGGGAAGCATTTTAATCTTGGCTACTTCAAATCCCTGTATAAGAGGGATTATTTCTGCGATGAGAAGATCATTTGTTAGCTTCTGTTACACTCCAGCTTGTGGAGGCACGTGATGTTTCATCAGCTAGCTTCCCTCAGGCTAGGTCTAGAAAAGCACTTGGAAGGGCAGTCTGTATGCAGTGGGTAGCCTGGCAGCGTAAGGTACTGCTGTGTTGATTGTAATGCCCTGAAGTTTCCGTCATGAATTTTTAGGCCTAAGTAGGAGACTTCTACCTGCCCTGCCTTTGACTGTAGCACTGATTTTCGTTGTTACTGAGATATCTGTCTTTTGTGAATGGTGTTCTGGGATAGGCCCTTATTCACCTCATTTCTTGCTACTTTCTCCTGCTCAGTTTCAAGCCGTACATCCAGCGACCCAACAGCCAGCAATTGCTCAGTTCCCTGTGGTATCTCAAGGAGGCTCCCAACAGCAGCTGATACAGAACTTCTACCAGCAGCAACAGCAGCAACAGCAGCAGCAGCAGCTGGCCACAGCCCTGCATCAACAGCAGCTGATGACTCAGCAGGCTGCCTTGCAGCAAAAGCCCGCTGTGGCCGCAGTACCGCAGCCCCAGGTGCAGCCGGCTGCAGCCTCGCAGCCAGCCCCTGCCCAGGAGCCAGCGGTAAGAATCACCCAGGGCTCAGGACAAAAAAGCAGAAGAGGACTGTGCAGTGAGGGCGAGGGGAAGGGCAAGAAAGAGGTGGCACCAGCTGACAAGGAGGGGCCTCTGACCTAGGGGTAGGTTGCTTTCTATCCTAGTGGTTAAAATATTTGACGTTTTCTTGGTATATCCAAGAGCAGTATGAGGTATTCTTCAGAAGGTAGAGGTTTTTAAAAAATGATTTTAGGCTGCTAATGAAGAAAAAGATTCTTATCACACTGAAATTAGGCTGGCAGAAAGAGCTGTTCATTGTCTCTGTTGGTGCCACTGTTAAATAGTCAAGAGCAGAGATAGTATTAGAGCTAGTCCTTCTCCCTTCCTCAAGGGGCACTTTGATCCCTGTGCCCTTTCCAGTCTCAGGAGGTTTACGTGGCCCCCACCTTTACCCTGAGCTCTGACAAGTGTGCTTATTCTTTGTCTTGGATGACATTACTAGCCACATCAATTAAGTCTACCATGCAGCTCCCTTCAAGGGCCTGCTTACCTGGGGCCATCTATCATGGCTTAATTCCCCAGGGCACCAGAGCATCTGAGTATCAGTCATTTGAACCATCTTGCCAACTTAGACATTGGTCATGTTCACTTTTAGATATTGGCTGAGTATAGCATCAGAACCCTTCTCCTGATTGGACCTCTACAGCTTCAACGCACTCAGGCACATTGCACTTTGGCCTTTCATAAGTGACCTTTAATCTGTACTCAGATATTTCTTCATAGTAGTGAGAGAGGATTTTATAGTAATAGAAAAAGGCATTTTGCATACCCAGCCAATAGAGTGTCACAGCTACTCTCTTATTCCCAGGGAAGTCCAACTACTAGACGAATGAAGGAAAAGTAAGAAACCAACTTTCTGAGGATTGATTTCTGATAGAATTTTGTCGCCCATCTTAAGCCAGAAAACCTACATCCCTTCGAAAGGAAGCAGTGCCGTAAATAGATTGTCTTCTCTAAGTCTCAGCTAAGTGTATGTTCAGTGTCTTTACACCTTCGTTTCTGAAGCAGCTCAGTCTTCCTGCAGGCATGCGGTAGACAGCTACTCTCTGTATTTTTAACAAGAGTGGAAATTCCTCTTGTTCATGGAAAAAGAGTTTTTAAAAAATTATTATATGATGTGGCTAGAAGGAATCTTAATTATCCAGTCCAGCTTCTTCGTTTTATGGAATTGGAAACTGAGGCCCAGACTAGAAAGTGATTGTCTAAGACATACAGACTGACAGTAACAAAGCTGGCAAGAACCAAAGAATCCTGCTATGTGTTTAAGGATAACAATAATAAATGCTCATCCAAGGTGATGTAATGATCAACTACTGCTGACTACACTTCTTATGCGGTTCCCATCTGCTTTCTCTAGATAAAAGTGTCACTTTCTTGGGAATGAATTGCGAACCTTCTCCATGTTCTCTGCATGAAAAAGTACTTTGAACACTCGCCCTGGGGTAGTTGGTTTAGGGGACAGAGGGGGAGCAGGAGCAGCCTGTGCTTTGGCCAGGAGCCATAGAGCTTCCCAGCTTTCACTGATCCCTGTCTTTGCTGACACTTGGCAGGGCTTGTCTAGGGTGAATGTTAAGAATACCTTGCAGCCATCTTCAAGCAATAATCAACAAAGGGAAAGTGGCCATATGCCCTAGATGTTTATTGCAGTCTTATTAATAATAGCCCAAAGAATGAAAGCAGCCTAAATTGTTCAGGCACCCAGCTGTGTAGCCATTAAAAATCATGGATGTAAAGTTGTATAACAGTATGAAAAAAAATGCTCATGAGGTAATATTAAAAGAGTTGTGAGGCCGGGCGCGGTGGCTCACACTTGTAATCCTAGCACTCTGGGGCGTGCCGAGACAGGAAGATTGCTTGAGGCCAGGAGTTTGAGACCAGCCTGAGCAAGAGCGAGACCCTGTCTCTACAAAAAAATAGAAAAATTAGCTGGATGTGGTGGCAAGTGCCTATAGACCCAGCTACTCAGGAGGCTGAGGCAGGAGGATCGCTTGAGCCCAGGAGTTGGAGGTTGCAGTGAGCTATGATGATACCACTGCACTCCAGCCTGAGCAACAGAGCAAGACCCTGTCTCAAAAAGAAAAAGAGTTGTGAAATTATGGAAAAGGTCTGTACTTGAATAGAGACTTAAATATAAGGCACCAAAAAAAAGATAAGAATAGTTGTATTAGATGGTAGAATAGGAATCTCTACTTTATATTCTTATATTTGTTTGTGTGATTATACTTTTATAATTACATATTTTGGTTTTTTTCTAAAAAATTTCAACAGGATAGACATCTGAGTCTGCCTTTTTCCTCCTGTTTCTCCCTCCTCCCCTTTTCTAATCCTGTCTTTGGGTAAGGAGGCATCGTGGTGCCTAAAGGAGTCCTGAGTAGCTGTCAGGAGACATGGATTCTGCTTCCTGTTAACCTTGTGACCTCAGATGAACACTTGGCCTCAGTGGGCCCGGTCTCATCTCCTCTAAAGTGTGGAAGTTGGAGTCTGTGTTCTCTCAGGTTCCTTTTGACTCTCACATTCTTTATTCTAAATGGAAATGTACCTGCCTGGCTGACAGGGTTGCTGGGAGGAGTAGCCGAGCAGGGTGGGTGCTACTTTGTGTCCATAGATTGCCGTCATAGGTGAGGTGTCCTGACGGAGGCATCTGATCTTCAGTGTGCTGCATATGGAGACATAGGTAAGAGGAGGGAAAAGTATTCTTCAAGTAGTGTGGACTCTTCAAAATAAAGGGCTCAACAGTTAAGTATCCTTTTTAGAATAATGAATGTCTCATGAAATAAGGCAATCCAGTATGTCCTCAAAGGCCCCTGGCCCTTGTGTTTTCTGGCGTTCAGCCAGCTGGTATAGGGGCAACTCTGGACCCCCAAAGGAAGTTGTGGAGCTGGAGCTCTGCTCTTCTTCACAGAGCACTCTGCTTCTCCCTCAGTGGGGCAGCTCTTACCCTTCTAACCTCAGCTGGATTGATGTTAGACCCTTATATTGTATTGTTCAGCCTGTTGGTGAAGTGGTTGGTATACTGCTACATGTACATTATCTACCTCATAAATTTTCCTGAGGACAGTATGAGAAAAGTCAGTATCCCAAGCTATAAGCATCCTGAACGCAAGTTTCCAGATGAAGTGGTTGGTATACTGCTACATGTACATTATCTACCTCATAAATATCCTGAAGACAGTATGAGAAAAGTCAGTATCCCAAGCTATAAGCATCCTGAACGCAAGTTTCCAGATACTCCAGTTTCCCTAAACTCTCTCAGAGCCTGCCTTTGTAGACACAAAACTGGGGGACTGAGCTACAGTGTGGGGTGGCAGCTCTAATCTGAGATGAGGAACTGGAAGGAAGGGATGGTTAAATCCCCAGGGCACTTAGTAGCCAAAGTCATTTTATCTCTAGATTGACAGCATTAAGGAAAGGGGTTTTGTGGCTTTCTTAATATTTTTTGTTCATTTCCCTTGATATGGGTGACTTACACTGAAGGACCACTCGTGGTCATAAGGATATTCCCACCTGTCTGCTGTTTGATGTTGGCAGTTTGGCCTGCATTCTAAAAATGGCCTACATCTGAAGAGTCCTTGTATTATTAACTCAATCATCATTGAGAACTTTTTTATTTTCTCATTATCTCCACCACGTGTTGTTCTTCAAATGCTCTTTCCAAACTAAAGATTGGAACAAGTTAATCCCATTAAGTCAATGCTGTACATTTTATCAGAGGTGCCACAGAAATAGGATCTTGTATACCAATCTCATCAGTGAAATAAAGAGCCTTAACAACAAAACAAAAAAGCACTACCATTTATCAATCACAGTAGAATCTGTCTTACTCTTCACTAGTTATCTCAGCTATGGCAGAGAGTCAGAGATCTCTTAGCAGAAATCATTCAGCTTAAATGTGTTTTAGCTGGAGGTTTATCTTCTTTGGCTTCTGATTGTAGTAATGGGATCTACTGCCTGCCCTTGGGAAGCATTCTAAATGAATTCCTATGTGACATCAGCAACAGAAAGTGGTCCTAAATTTCAGATACTAATAAAATCTAGATCTTTAGAATTAGGAATAGCTTCTGCAGTCTTATGCTCTGGGCTGAGTTACATATGGTTACCCTGTATATTATTGTTGATGACGATTGAAATTTATGTGTAAGAACCTGGCTAATACCGTGTTGGTATCAGTCTCAAAGTTGCAGCTCAGATTGTCAAAGCCTGTTTTTTTCTTTCTGGGTGTTATTAATAAACCTAGTTGTTTTAGTCCCATGTTAGCTCTCATGTGGGATTTTTTTGTTATGCTTATCTATTCTCCCTTTTTCTTCCTTTCCTTTCCCCTTTCCAACACTTTCCAACACTTTCCATGTCTCTTCCTAGCAGATTCAAGCCCCAGTAAGACAACAGCCAAAGGTTCAGACAACCCCACCTCCTGCCGCCCAGGGGCAGAAACTTGGATCTCTCACTCCTCCATCATCCCCCAAAACCCAACGTGCTGGCCACAGGAGGATCCTCAGTGATGTAACCCACAGTGCAGTCTTTGGGGTCCCAGCCAGCAAGTCAACCCAGCTGCTCCAGGCAGCTGCAGCTGAGGCCAGTCTCAACAAGTCCAAGTATGTGGTGCTTCCCCTTTATTCTTACCTTTGTGAGCAAGGTCAGCCCTTGACTGTTACCATGTGATTCTTTGCATAAGTATGTAGATGAGTGTAGATGTATGTATAGTAGTGTGTGTCTGTGTTTAATGAGCAACTGTGAATTTGCCTGTAGTGCATGAACCATACTCATATTAAGAAATAATTTCCAATTGGGCACAGTGGCTCACACCTGTAATACCAGCACTTTTGGAGGTCAAGGCAGGAGGATTGCTTGAGGCTAGAAGTTCGAGACCAGCTCAGGTAACATAGCAAGGCCTGGTCTCTAAAAGAAATAAATAATTTCCTACTTGGCCCACTGTTTTCATTCTCTCATCCATTCCATGCTCTATAGAGTGTTTTCTAAACTCTTAATCTGACCAAGTCTCTCCATGCTAAAAATCTTTCATTGGTTCACCATTGCTTATCACTATTGCTTATGGTTAACCATGATATCTGAACCCCCTGGTTAACACAGCAGGGCCTGTTGTATCACACAGGTGGACTTGCCAGTCTCCACCTTCATGAGCCCATTATTCATCCTGTGCCCTCTCCTGGGACTGCCACTCTCCTCCTTGTCATGCTCATGAGTACTCATTTATTCATTAAGATCCATGTCAGAGGTTACCTTTTATTTGACCCTTCCGCTGATAGGATGTATCATTTTGTCTGGACCTTGTTTTTGAGGATGCTATCACATTGTATTATCATTAATTATTTGTATGTCTAGACTACCTAGCCTGTGAGTTCACCAAGCCAAGGACCATGCCATGCCCTACTCAACCTTTGGAAACCTGGCAACTGGCTCTGTGCCTAACATAAAGTAGATTATAGATGAGTATTGAATAGATACAATTTCAGACCCTTAGCTTTCTTGGAACCATGCATGCTAAAGTTCAAGTCTTTAAGTCAAGAGAGACTTTAGAAGAAAATTAAGTGATGGACGCATAAAATAGTGGTAACTGTCTTTATTTATTTTTAATTATGCTGGTAGCCCTTTGTTCTATGCATGCTGGATCCTAAAAGATGGAAGTCAGCCTAAATAGGCCCCAGCCCTTCAAGGGGCCAGTTATTGTAAATAAGTTATGGTGGTCACCACGGGACGAACAAGCCTAAGAACAAGTTGCTTTTGGATCCTGAACAGAAAGGACTTGCAGATGAAACTGAAAAACTAAACAAGATTAAAGAAGTAGCGGGAGGTAGTGAGTCATGAGGGAAAGGAGACATTAGTTTCACAGAGTAGAAGGGGTGTCTGTGGAAACTATTCAGTTGCCATGGAAAGCCCTTCTAGGAAAACACTGTGGAAAATGGTAGTTTGATTCAGAAAAGAATTTGATCCTGAAATAAAGAGAAAATAAGTCGACCCTTTTTGTTGTGTTCAACTTTTATATGTCTTTTTATTTCGCGGGGGTGGGAACCTACCTAGGTCTGCAACTACCACTCCGTCAGGCTCTCCTCGGACCTCCCAGCAAAATGTCTATAATCCTTCAGAAGGTTCTACATGGAATCCCTTTGATGATGACAATTTCTCCAAACTCACAGCTGAAGAACTGCTGAACAAGGACTTTGCCAAGCTGGGGGAAGGTGAGTAAGTTTTATCTCTTTTGTGCTTCTTGATTGTAAATTCTCTGTGCTAAGAAGTAACCAGAAATTAGAATTAATCTTACTCTAGAAGAATATGCATGTGAAAATGTAGGTTCAAGGTATGCATACAAATTGGTTTTTATTTTTACCAGAGCACTGAAGTCTTTTCATGTTCAAGAAATTCTGATCTACTGTGGGTGGTAGCAAGGAGATTAAGCACACTTAGGGAAGAGACTTTTAGGAAAGATTTGGTAGCATAGATCAAAGTGATAGCACTGAGCATGGTCATTCCAGGGAGGAGTGTGATGGTTCCCTCATCTTAAGTTGGTTTATTGTCCCAAAAAGTTGTCAGTGCTTGCCAAGAGTGTGCCCTCACATGGACACTGAATTTTTCACTATGGTCAGAGTTCCATATTACTGTTGACTGACCAAAGAAAGGAGATTAACTAAATAGAAGATAAAATTCTGCTCGAAAAATAGTCTGATTTGGAAGGCAGGACACACAAACACACACACACACACACACACAGGCACACACACACACACACACAGGCACACACTTTGAAAAACAACAGATACACCCAGGAAAAATTCTATAATACGCAGGTCAAAAAGAGCACCCTCAATATAGATAAGAGCACAGGGTAAAGAAATGAGCAGAACTGAATGAATTATTGGCCAAACATTTTAGCTTTAACTTATTATTTTACAGAAATCTTTTTAAAATCCCAATTACTTTCCTGCCTTTTTAAATAGAACATAGGGCATAGATATTAACTTTCTTTGACAATTCAGTTTCATTGTTGTATGCTAGATATTGTTCTGAGCTGTAAACAGAAGTACCTTCATGGACTATTGAAAACTGTAGTATTTTTGTACCTGAATAACTAGGCCCCAAGTTTTAATAATTTCCTGCTCAGCTGTCAGCTTTCACATTAGGCTACTGTCACTATGCCTGTCCCTCACAACATCTCATTGCCATTTCTACCTCTCCCTCTTCTCATTTGCTCTTCTAAGCTGTTTCCAACATGAAAAACAGATCATCAAACTCATTAGGATTATATAAAAGTAAATAGATTCCAAGTGAAGGTTGGAGGCATTCTGCTGTGAGTAATGTGCTTAACATTTAGGGCTTCAGCTCTGTGTTCTCTCTCTTCTGTTACATTTATTTATTTTAAAAAATTTTACTTGTAGTAAAATAAGCATAACAAAAATTACCATCTTAATACTTTTTAAGCATACAGTTCAGTAGTGTTAAGTATATTTGCACTGTTGTGCAACCAATCTCCTGAACTCTTTTCATCGTACAAAACTGATGATGTGCTATCTCTCTTTTTTTTTTTTTGAGACAAGAGTCTCACTTTGTTGTCCAGGCTAGAGTGAGTGCCGTGGCATCAGCCTAGCTCACAGTAACCTCAAACTCCTGGGCTCAAGCAATCCTTCTGCCTCAGCCTCCCGAGCAGCTGGGACTATAGGCATGTGCCACCATGCCTGGCTAATTTTTTCTATATATATATATTAGTTGGCCAATTAATTTTCTTTCTATTTATAGTAGAGATGGGGTCTCGCTCTTGCTCAGGCTGGTTTTGAACTGCTGACCTCGAGCAATCCACCCGCCTCGGCCTCCCAGAGTGCTAGGCAGGCATGAGCCACTGTGCCCGGCCTATCTCTTTTGATTTTTAACAATTTCCTTCTGTTTCTCAGCTGTTCTGTCAGTTATTGCAATGACTTAGACAAAGACCTTTGAAGAGCCAAGATGTTGCCGTAATGCAGTAAATGCAGTCAAATTCAGAAGTCAGTTCAGAGTGTACCCTTCATCTCTGCTGTTTGTATAATCACAGGATTCTGTTAGAATGAACTGAGTGGTGTTTTATCCCTCCAGGCAAACATCCTGAGAAGCTTGGTGGCTCAGCTGAGAGTTTGATCCCAGGCTTTCAATCAACCCAAGGTGATGCTTTTGCCACGACCTCATTTTCTGCTGGAACCGGTTAGTATAGCAAATACATGAGGCTCACTATTCCCTACCTTCACACTGTTTTCCATGCCACAGATAACTCTAGCGTGCCAGTGAGCCCTCAATCCTGGCAGTAACTTATATTTTTCTTTATTCAAAGGCTTTCCAACCAGAGATACAAAAAGATCTAGAATCTCTTTGAATTAAAGTGACAGGATGACCTGACAGTAACATACAGTACTTATTCTCTCTCTAGTCCATGGACATGTCTTAAGCAATTTTTTTTTTTTTTAAAGACTAGTCAAGTGCAGTAGTGAGAAGACGAAAAAGTAGAACAAGGAGTTCAATCTGTAACTGACTATGAACAATCGAGTTAACTTGCTACCTTCGAACCAGCTGTAGATACTTCTAAATTTGAGGAACAGCACTTGTTAATCTCTTGTAATTGCTTAGGTTCTCTGGATGACTTGAAGAATTCTAAGAATTAGATGTTCTGTTCTATATCTGTGGCTCTACTAAGCTGTATTTTTGTGTGTTTGTGCTTTCAGGGAAAGGGAGGTATTTTTTTTTTTTAATTATAGTAGCAATAACAGACTAATTTTTCCTCTTTATTAATAAAAATTATACATATTTATTATGTAAACATTAATAATTTATAGAGAAGAAAGTTAAAATCTCCCATGATCAGATCACTGAGATAGCACAGGTATGCCACCATGATGTCTGTTACTGGCATTTAACCTTTTTGGGGTCGGATATCTTTGTGAATCTAATGAAAGTTATGGATCTCCCTCACCAAAATACATGTGAACACAATTTTGTATAGTTTTAGGCCACCACTTAAGCCTCTGATACACATCTTTATAGTCATATTTTAAAACCTAATTTTTTACTTAATAAATCTGTCACATTTCCTCTTCATCATTAAAGAAGCTTCTAAAATGTAATTTTAAAAGTATGTGCATTAAATTCCATTATGTGGCTGTATCATAATGTATTTAGCCAAATCTCTCTTTTTGAAACATTAATTTGATTTCAGTGTTTTACTGTTATAAATGCTTCAGCCATAGGTGTGAGCTTTTGAAAATGTTCTTAGTAGGATATAGAATTCGATATGCTTCTAAAACTGATCTTTTTAACTATACTGATTAATTTCCACTTTTAACCTTATAGTAGTATATTCTTTCTGTTTAGGCATGTGAGTAGTTTTTCTAGCCTCATAAATTTATTTCTGATTGGAACTTTGGCTGACATTACATAATGTTTGATATGTAATCCTCTCTTCTTTGCCTTGTTTTCTGGATATTTTTTAATTGAAGTTTCAATTTCTTTAACCAAGAATTTCTTAGGATATGTCTTTACCATATTGAGACCCACGTGGCCTATGCAGTCTTTGCTGTAGGTTCCTACTGAAGGGCTTTCTATGGCCTAATTTGTTATTCATGTTATAAATGTCCTCTGGGAATTAGTAGTTTTCATGTCAATAAACATTAATCGACAACATGATTTTTCATGGAAGAATAGTAAAATTTATTTAACATCCCCTTGTATGAATATTTGGGTTATCAGTTTGTCACCACGTAAATATTCTGAAAGCTGAATTTTTGTTTATATCCTTTACAGTTGCTGTAAGATAATTTCTAGGAGACTATTTGCAAAATCAAAAGATATGTACATTTTTTTTTTTTTTTGAGACAGAGTCTCGCTTTCTTGCCTAGGCTAGAGTGAGTGCCGTGGCGTCAGCCTAGCTCACAGCAACCTCAAACTCCTGGGCTCAAGCGATCCTCCTGCCTCAGCCTCCCGAGTAGCTGGGACTACAGGCACACGCCACCATGCCCGGCTGATTTTTTTATATTATATATGTTAGTTGGCCAATTAATTTCTTTCTATTTTTATGGTAGAGACGGGGTCTCGCTCAGGCTGGTTTTGAACTCCTGACCTTGAGCAATCCGCCCGCCTCGGCCTCCCAGAGTGCTAGGATTACAGGCGTGAGCCACCGCGCCCGGCCAAGATATGTACATTTTAAGGCTGTTGATACATATTTCCAAATTGGCCTCCAAGAAATCTATACACATTTTATTTAGATCAACAGTGAATGAGAGTCATTTTCCCTGCCATTTCCCCACCCATCCCAACCCAGAGGCTGTAGACAGAGGACATTATTTACTGGGCATTTTTATTTCTTAGGGGATTTGTATTGTTCATGTCCTTTGCTTTTTTTTTTTTTTTTAATGAATTTGTAAGAGTTCTTCATATAACATGTATTGTAAACATTTTTCCTAGTTTGTCTTTAATACTCTGAGTGTGACCTCATCTAAACCTCTCAACAGCTCTTTTGCACGTGATGTATCATCCTCATGTTGGTTACAGTGGAGGGAACTGAGGCACAGAGAGTCTCTTTTTCAGGGTCATCTGCTAGCAAGTGGCAGAGCTAGGACATCGACCCTCTGGCTCCAGAACTTTCTCATCAGGTTTTTTTCCTCTTAATGAGGAAAATTTAGTAATTATCTTTTCCTAGAAAATCCTCTGTAGTTTTAAATTTTTTTAAATTAAAATAGAACAATATGTGTAAATCTTTTATAATATTTTCTTCATGTACATGCATTTTAATTATATATATTTGTGTTTCTCTTTTTCTTGGTAAATATAGTTAGAGGTGTGCTATTTTATTATCTTTACAAAAACAACTCTTAGATTAATAAAATCTTATTTTTTTCTGTTTTCTTACCCTTTAACTTTTGCTTTTATTTTTATTATGTTTCCCTGTTTTTCTTAGGTTTGCTTTGGTAATATCAAGAGGAATACATAGTAAATTTTTTAAAAAATTCTTCTTAAAAAATAAAGTATTTAGGCTATGAGTTTTTCTCTCAATATAACAGTCATTTTTAACGAGCAGAGGATTGGGGAGGGAGGCTAATTATAATCTTCAGGGAGGCTTTTTACATGCAGATATTCCAATATCCTCTTTTCTCTTTCTTTGTCCAATTGTCCCACCTCAACCTTTGAGGATTACACTGCTTTTTTGAGAGTGCTTTCTAATAAGTGTGTTTCCCTAATTGGAAAAAATGGGAGTTGCATGCTCATAACTCTTCATATGGGCCGCATGCAGTGGCCCACGCCTGTAATCCTAGCACTCTGGGAGGGCGAGGCAGGCGGATTGCTCTTGGTCGAGGTCAGGAGTTCGAAACCAGACTGAGCAAGAGCGAGACCCCCGTCTCTACTATAAAATAGAAAGAAATTAATTGGCCAACTAATATATATAAAAAAAATTAGCCAGACATGGTGGCGCATGCCTGTAGTCCCAGCTACTCGGGAGGCTGAGGCAGAAGGATTGGTTGAGCCCAGGAGTTTGAGGTTGCTGTGAGCTAGGCTGACGCTACGATACTCACTCTAGCCTGGGCAACAAAGTGAGACTCTATCTCAAAAAATATATATAAGTCTTCATATGATGTTCTCGTTGTTATTGCTTTGGAGTTATTTGAGAGTTTTGCCTTTTAATATTAAGTAGTTAAATTTTTTTGTGTTATTTTTCATTTTTAACTTTGTTGTCTGGGCTGTGTAAATTTTAAACTTATTGATATTGGTCAGGCTTTAAAATGACCAGTTCATGGTATTCAAAGTATGATATGCCTCATAGTTGACCAGATGTATCAAATATGTAAAGCACTGACTATTGTCCTTGAGACAGAACATCAGAATCATGACCAGTCCTGGTCCTGAGTAGGATATAGTTTCTCTGGAAAGAGAATCATGGAATAAACTCTGGGAGAGTCTTCTTTGCTGCTGAATCCCCAGCATTTTATCACAGTATTTGGCTCAGTACAGATTTGTTGAGTGAATGAGAAGGGCTGCTTTTATCCAAAACATAGGAGCTTGAATTTACCAGTGCTGACAACAGAGATCCCTAATCGTTTTCCATCCACTCACCTTACTATGTCCAGTTTTAGTGCCTGATTCTCATTTATCACACATAGTTATATTTCATTGTTTGTGTGAACTGTTTCTTTAAAGAAGTTTATGTTGTTTTTTGGGTTTGCCTGACACTTTATATTTACTTTGAAGGCTGCAAATGGCAGTATTTTTTTAAAAAGAGATTTAAAGGCCCAGCCACAAACACATATTTGATTAAAGTTATAATAGTGAACGTGTATCGAGCACATAATACATATTAAGCCCACTGGGTAAGTGCTTTTTTGCACATTCTCTCAGGTGATTTTCACAACATCACACCTGCCCAAGGTCACAGCTGGAGAATGCAGAACAAAGATTTGTATCTGGCAGCCCAGCTTAGAGGTTGTTGTTGTAACTACATCTCAGGAATCTTGTCACCAACACTAAGCTTTTACAAATATTGCAAAATGTCTTCATATTTTCCTCAGCTTATTCTGTATTGGTATTTTCTTTCTTGTTTGTGGTGTGATTATTTTTTTTTGTTTCTGTAACACCTTCATTCTTTACAAATATCAGAAAATTATGTCTAAACCCAGAAACTTATTTGCCTTCATTTGTATGAAGTACAAGATGGTGCCATTTTCAACAAATTTCCTGAGTTCAGACTAATTATAGATTTTAAACCTTCTGACTGAGCAGTGGAGGAACTAAGCAGGAAATTTGGCAATGGGTAAGGGAGGATGGCACTAGGGTTCTTTTAAACATTTTTTATGGTAAAACTTGCAAAAATGTTGACAAACTGTGTCTATACATTGGAGAAGGAACAGACAAACATTTAAAACATGACATTGTAACCTCTTTATTTCAAATCTTTTCCTGTTGGTGAGTTATATACATTTGTTTGTAGAAATCTGGAGAAGTGAATGAAATCCCAAATCAGCAGGGGGGAAAAAAGAGAACTCATAGCCCTACTCTGAAAGAAAAGCATTTGTTGACATTTTACAGTATTTATATCTAAAATTTTATTTCTGCATATAAACCTTTTTCAAACATTACATACATTCAGTTTGTAATTTGCTTTCTTCATTATAAAATATTTCAGAGGCTTAAGAGCAGTGACTTTAACCTTTTTCTTCCTCCTCCTACCTTTAAAGAAACCTAGTTAAAGACCCACTTTAATAACAAAATTATAGAGATTGAGAACAGAGTAGTGGTTTCAAAGGATAGCAACAGGAGTAAGGGGTGGGCGTGACTGTAAAGGAGTAGAAATGAGGTAGGTCTTTTGTGTGAAGGAGCAGTTTTGTACCGCAAGTACGGTGGTGCCTACCCTGTGGTACTGTACACGGAGTCACACGTGTACACAGTACACGGAGTACTGTGTATAGTCACTGCAAAGACCTATACACACAGGTTACAGGAAAGGGAATTAGGGTCCCACGAGAGGGTGGTTTAGAAATTGGGAAATAGGGTTTGAAATGGGAGTTGGGGACCACAATGAAAGCTTGGGGGTACAGGAGGGAGGTTGATGGTCTGAGGGGAAGTTGAGTGTTGGAAGGTGTGAGGTCAGGATTCTGAAAAGAGTTGGGAATCGAGGAAGGTGTGAGGGTTAGAGAGTGGGAATTCAGAGTCCAAGGAAAGGAGGCAGAGTGGAGTAAGTAGTGAGCTTCCCTCCCCTCCACCTACCAGGACAGGCACTCACAGCCTGTGACTCCCAAGTGCCAGTCACAGGGCTGGATCTGGTGGCAGCTGCTCGCCCACTGGGGCTGACTGGTCACTGGGTAGGACGTGGCTGCAGGGGGGTGGAGGGTGGTCAGCGGGAAGCCTCAAAGTGCCTCTGGGCTCCTGCACCCTTGCTACCTTTCCCTCTGCTGGGAAAGTGTCTGGACAGGGCCACCAGGCTGCCCACTGAGAGGACGCCACTGCACCTGCCCTTTCCCTTCAGCCACACCTAGGCATCAACACCCTGTCTGTCCCTGTTGCCTTGGCCTCCTGTACATCTGGTAGAGCAAGGGAAGGGGGACTCCTGCACACCTGAGGAAGGATAGGCACCACATGTGCCACCTCCTTCAATTCTGTGTCTGGGGGTGCTATGTTCCCGCATTTCAGGGGCCTCTGGGGTAGAAGCAAGCGCTGTCTGTCACTGAAGCCAGAGTGCAAGACAGGCAGCCAGGCTTTGCGGATGGGAAGGTTGTTGGCCCATCCAGCAGTCCTACCTTTGGTTTTCACATTGTCGTGCATCTCAAACTACATCTTGCTGGCCCTGAGGAGGTGGCATTGGGGATGGCAGAGGTGGCCTTGCAACAGTGGTGGAGTCCAAAGGACACATGATACTGAGTAGAGGAGAGCAAGGGACTGGGGCATGGGCAGTTGAGCTCTCAGAAGGAGAGGAGCTAGGGAGAAAGAGGCCCAGTCAGCCTGCTGGCAAGGAGAGATGTGGAATGAGATGGATGGAGTGGAGGCGAGAAACTCGCTCGTTTCTTTATAGCTGCTCGACAGACCCCAGCGGACCTTCCTCATACCAGAGGCAGAGCTGGAGAGAGAGACCAAGAGACAGAGACAGGCAGAGTCAGAGACAAGGAAAGAAAGAAATCAGAGCCAGCTGCCCATGGAGATGCCACCAGTAATGCCCACACACGTCCAGTACTTTGACTCGTCTGCAAGCCCATTTTATAGACAGAATGCAGGGACCCACAGAGGTGAAGAGAGATGTCCTACATCTGATGGCCCAAGCCAGGGGGATTAAGAACAGGGGATGCTGGGTCTCAGCTCTTCCACATTCAGCTCAGCTCCACTCTGGTTGAGAAGGAGGGATTCAGGAGCATTGAGAAAAAGTTGTCCAGAGAGAGATGTGAAAGGAGACAGGGAGATGTGAGTAGGGTGGGTGGAGGGAGAATAGAGCAGAGGGTGGGGTGGGGTGCTCCTTCCTGCACAAACTGCGAGGGCAGTGATGGAGAAAGAGGTGTGGGTGACACGGGCACTGAGTGAAGAAAAAAGAGCTATGCACACATAGACACAAGTGGCTGGCTGCACATAAAAACTACTCAAAACTGAATTGTCTAGGTTAGTAGGCCCTAACCTTTCTGGCACCAGGGACCGGTTTCATGGACAACAATTTTTCCACAGACAAGGGGGAGGTGAGATGGGTGCAGGATGGCAAGCAATGGGGAGCAGCTGTAAATACAAGTGAAGCTTCACTCACTGGCCCTGCTGCTCACCTCCTGCTGTGCGGCCTGGTTCCTAACAGGCCATGAGCTGGTACTGGCCTGGGGGTTGGGGACCACAGGTCTAGATAACAGTATCGTGCCAGTATCAGCGATACTGAGTTGTGTAAGATACCACCTTTGGAGGAAGCTGGTTAAAGGGTTCACAGGACTCTGTACAGCAACTTCCTGTGATTCTGTAATTATTTCAAATTAAAAATTTTTTTTAAACCCATTTTAAAGAAAGCAAAATGAGATTTTAATTAATGAACAAACTGAATACTAAAATGCAACGAAAAGAATGATAAAATAGAAACCAAGACCTGGGCTCTGACCTTATCTCTGCTGGTGGACCTCTGGCTAGTCCCTTAAGTTTGGGCTTCATTTTCTTTTCTAGAAAATAAGGAAATTGTGCTAGAAAATTCCAAGCTCTCTTCAAGCTCTGATATTTCATAAGGTGTACAGGTTTTTATAAATCTGTAATTTGCCAAATATAGAATGAATATCAGTAGTCTGTTAAATATAGTTCAGAGGTCAAGGGTTGTCTGACCTTGCAACAGGCGAGATGTCTATTTATTTCTGCCCCTTCCTGTGTGCCTCTTCCTGTGCCTAGCACTACATTAGACGTTGTAGTGACACAATAGGACTTAGACCTGAAAGGACCCCAAGAGGGTGATGGGTACATAGGAAGTACCTTTACACATGTGCTAGATTACAAAACACAGCGTTTTGTTTACATGCCAAAATGTGTGATATAGACAGTAATTGCTATAGGAATTCTGAACGAGATGACTGTAGGCTACAGTATCCAGGAAAGAAGTAGAATTTCAGATATACAAATATATATACAAATATCCTAGTTTTATCATTAATTGCATGTCATAGTATGTGTCAAGGACTATTTTGTCTATCTCAAAGATACTTTGTTGTTGTACTGAATTATATCCACTGAGCCCACTCTATTCTAAATTTAGACTTTGTACTTTGAGCTGTTGGGTTAATAGATGGTAAACTCATCTTAGATTTACTTGATGTTTTTTGCTTTTCTCTTTTTTCTCTCCTGACCTCTCCTTCCTCTCCAACCAACTGCAGCTGATAAAAGGAAGGGTGGGCAGACTGTGGACTCTGGCCTCCCACTTCTAAGTGTATCTGATCCTTTCATTCCTCTTCAAGTACCTGATGCACCAGGTAGGTAAATAGATCTGATCTGAGGTTAAGCAGCTGCTTCTATCCCAGGACCCCTGGAGAGTTCTATTTTAAACATACCCTTCATGAAAAGGCTCTGAATTTCAAGCCCAAATTATAGGGTGCTATTGTGTATTTTTACTGTGTTTCAATAAGAGGGGCAAACTTGTCTTGGAGGGTACCAGCCCTTAGCAAAGATTCAGTTCTCGTTATACCAACTTGTATTCCGTATCGTATCAGTGTTCAGTTTTCATCCTTGATTGTATTAATAGTAATGTGAGGGACCTGTGTATCGGAAAGAACATTAGTCCAGTATGATTATTACAGTGGGGGGGGGAGGAAATAGCTGTAAGCATGTGATAAAAGGAACAACATATGAAGTGGTAATGGGATTGTGGGTGACTTCCTGTCCAGTTCTTATGTTCCATATTGTGCTTTTATTTTATAATATAAAAATACATAGTGAAGGTTGATAGGGAGTGTGAGTCAGGAGACCTGGGTTCCCTTCCAGGCTTGGGGCTTGACTCTTCATCAGTGAAGTGAGTTGTATGTACTGCAGGAGTTCACATAACCCTCTCAGGCGGCCATATCCCGATTTTTAAGTAAGCAGTCTAAAAAGCAAGACTGGGCACTGCCTATTTGGAGTTCATGAATGTCAAAGATTTCCCCTCCTGGGGAGGTGGTGTGGGGAACAGAAGCTGCCCTTTCTCTTCTCTAGCTCTTCAAAAAAGCAGAGAGATCCACCTCCCTACAAACAGCTGGCAGTCATTTTGCTTCTGATAGTTTTTCCTTTTTTCCCATTCTTACCTCTGCCAATTCTTGACCTTGAACTGATAAGATTGGCTTGATTTTTCTTCTCTCCCAAAATGTTAAAAGTATTTGATTGGTTGACTCAAGATTGGAAGCGATTGTGATGTTCATTTCCTTTACTTACTAAGACAGACTGCAGTGAGGGTACCAAGGCAGTTTTTTTTTAGAACTTTGGGGCAATGGAAAATAACCTTCAGGGGTTTTTGTTTGTTTGGTTGGGGTTTTTTTAGGTAATTTGTTGACCTTCTAAGGGGAAGCAAACACTTGCTTTACTCAGGTGGTACTGTGTAACTTTACAGCTTGCTGGACCTGGATGTAGTTCAGAAATATCAAAAAATCACCAAGGAATGATTCAATACAGGGGGGTTAAAGAAAAGGAAGAAAGGAATCAAACAAGAGACTGTTTTCTCTTTTGTGCCCTTCAGGTATGCCTGGCAAAACTTGAACGAGCCAGTTTTGAGCAGAAGGTTAGAAGGTGTGGGCTATAAACTCAAGCTGGGGCCCACTGGCCTCTTTCCTTCCTGTTGTGGCAGTTATGGGATCAGCAAAGGGAATTCATTTGGAGGCATTCTCCCTTTGACACTCCTTCACGTTCTTGCTTTGCGTTGCCCAGATAGTCCATGGGCCATAGAAGCTGGAAGGATGGCCTTTTTGCACAGGACAGAGAATGAGGGTCCACGGGCAAGTAGCTGTCTTCTGCAGCTGTCACAGGATCCCTCTGGATCAGGATTGAGGAGTGGGGCACACATGCCAGGTGGCTCAGGAGACAGGCTCCAGGTTGTGGGGAAGAGTCTGGAGCCACCGGGGCTAGCTAGCTGCCATCCTGCCTTCCTTACTGTCATCTTTCCTATCTTCTCATCCTCCATACTTCTCCCATTCTGGTGGATTCCTGCTCAGAGTGTTATTGGTATACACTTTAATACCAATTAAGCCATGACCTCTCTTGGGTTTCAATGGAAAATATATGAAAATGGGACATTTATTTAATTCTAGGAGTATCTTATTTGCTTTCTGATCTGACAGGCCAGACTTATCTGTCGAAGACATAAATCAGACCGTAACTCCTTTGTGTTCCAGTGAATTCTCATGTCACTGAGTGAGCATAAAATCCAGACCTCCTACTGTGATCTACAGGGTCCTAATGGTGTGGCCCTTGGCTACCCCTCTAACTTCAGCTCACTGGTCTTCCCTCCAGCAGACTAGGTGTGTTCCCACCTCAGGGCCTTTGCACTTGCTGGCACTCTGCTTAGGAAGCCTTTCCTTCAGCTCTGTTCTTTTGTGTCATTTGACATTTGGGTCTTAGCTTAAATGCCATGTTCTCAGAAAGGCCTAGTGTGGTCCCACAGGCACTCTCGTCACTCCCCTTGGCTTTCTTCTTCATAGTATTTATCGGGACATTGTCTGATTTTACCTGTTCATTCTCTGTCTTTCCTCATCAGAGTGTCCATGTCCTGAGGGCAGCCTTGTCTGTCTTACTAACGCATCGCCAGTGCCAAAAATGCTGCCTGGCAGAGTTGGCACTCAGTGAATATTTGCAGACCAGATGGGTGATTGAAATAAAACCTGAGGCTGGAAGCCTTTCGGTGTCCCCCTTACTCTCCATTTCTGTCCCAGACACCAGACTACTGGCCCCCTGGCATTCCTTCTGAGCCGCTGCCACCCCCAGCAGGTCTCCCACCCACTCTTCGAGGGTGAGTAGAGGAGGGCACAGGGAGCTGCCAGCCCCTGGGCTGATGAAAGCATGGCTAGGCTCAGCAGCTCCTCCAGCTCCGTCCTTTCATGGTACTCTCCAGAACTGGGCCAGGTTTGCTGTATTACCACGGTGGCTTTGGTTGTTTTATTTATTTTAATATTCAGCCCCTAGTACATTCATTTACATAGTCCTTCATCAAGGTCCCCATGTGCTTCTTGAGCAGCTTGAAATGCTGAGTGAGGAAAGGGTTCAGGGTTCAGTGTTTCTCTGGGACCTGGGAAAACAGCAAGTTTATTTTTCGCTCCCCCAAAAGCAAACAGGCTGTCATACCTCCCACCTACTGTGGACACCAGCCAAGCCTTTTTTGGTTGGCTGGTTGGTTGGTGGTTCATTTGTATTGTGTATTGCTCTTCTGCTACACTCAGCCTTCCTGATGAGAATCATGGAATCTCAGTCTCCTGAAGAATATGCCTTTCAGTGACTTAACATTTGTATTTTATACTCTTATTTTTTTTTGAGACAGAGTCTCACTTTGCTGCCTCTGCTAGAGTTCCATGGTGTCAGCCTCGCTCACAGCAACCTCCAACTCCTGGGCTCAAGCAATCCTTCTGCCTCAGCCTCCCGAGTAGCTGTGACTACAGGCATGCGCCACCATGCCCGGCTAATTTTTTCTATATATTTTTAGTTGTCCAATTAATTTCTTTCTATTTTTAGTAGAGACAGGGGTCTCGCTCTTGCTCAGGCTGGTTTTGAACTCCTGACCTTTGAGTGATCCACCCGCCTCGGCCTCCCAGAGTGCTAGGATTACAGGCGTAAGCCACTGCGCCTGGCCGTATTTTATGCTTTTAAAATGATTTCATATATAATTTACTTTGATCTTAGGTACTATGGAGTGGTGGGTGGTAGGTATAGCAGGTAACATCCTCATTTTGTGGGTGAGGACGTGAGGCTGTAATGTTATTCTGTACAAAGCCACACATTCCTTTTCATTGCCTGCATCCCCCAGGCAGTGGATGTTTCTTTTGTCTTTGGGACAGGTTTCAGATCAATAAAGCCTTTGAGTATAGAGCTAAATTTAAGGTTTAGGGGAATATAAAAATAGATTTGAACTTGTAAGACCTACTTAGTATCTAGGTGGTTTTAGTCAAATCACTTAAACTCTATGTTCTCATTTTTAAAATTGGCAATACTAAAACCTACCTCATGGGGTAGTCATGAGGTTCAGATGAAATCGTATATTTGAAATTGCTACTATGTCAATTTTAAATTACTATACAGATGGGAAATGCTGTTACAACTTTGGTTCTGCATCTTTATTCCCAATGGGGCAGTCCTTGTTATTGTGAAATGATATTTTTCTCTTGTTGAAATTAAACTTGTTATTGCAACTTTTAACTTTTGCACAGCTGAGAGCCATTAAAATAACAGATTTCCTGGACATGGTGATTGTCAAACTGCGGGTAAAGGGATACTGGATAATTGTGGTCTGATTGGTTTGTTTTAAGGAGAATTTTTATTTTTCAAAGCACCATAAAACAAATTTTCTTAGAAACTCTGGAATACAAAATCATAGCCTCGAGCATTTGTATGCTCACAAAGCTGCTAAATGATGCATGGCTAGTGAATCTCAGTGTATTTCACTGATGTTCATATGCTGCCTGTTCATTCATTAGATAAGCTCTGGGGTAGTACTAAAGTTTTTAAACGTGGTGGAAAAGATTCAGGAATTTTCTCTGAAAATTGGGGAAAATATTTTTTAATCATTTTTTGTATTTCTTTCTGTTTTTTTATTTGTTTTTTAAATTGTGGTAAAATACACATAATTAAATTTACCATTTTAACCATTTTTCAGTGTATAGTTCAGTGGCATTAAGTACTTTCACGTTGTTTTGTAACCATCATCACCATCCATCCACACAACTTTTTTCCTCTTGCAAAACAAAAATGTGTACTCATAAAACAGTAAGTCTCTTTTTCCCCTTCTCTTCAGCCCCTGGCAACCACCGTTCTATTTTATGTCTCTGTGAATGTGACTACTCTAGGAACCTCATATAAGTGGAAACATACAGTGTTTGTCCTTTTGTGACTGGCTTATTTAATTTAGCACACTGACCTCAATCAAAGTTCATCCACGTTGTAGCATTTGTCAGAACTTCCTTTTTTTTCTAAGGCTGAATAATATTCCATTGTATGCATATACCACATTTTCTTTATCCTTTCGTCCATTGATGGACACTTGTGTTGTTTCCATCTTTTGCCTTTTGTGAATAATGCTGCTATGAACATCAGTATAAAGATATCTCTTCGAGACCTTATTTTCAATTCTTTTAGCTATATACCCAGACATGGAATTGCTGGATGATACAGTAATTCTACTTTTTAATTTTTTGAGGATCACCGTACTGATTTCCATAGAGACTGTACCATTTTGTATTCCCACTAGCAATGCACAAGAATTTGCAAAAATTATTTTTATAACAACTCTTCAATACTGATCTCT